TACTGACCTAGCAATTCCATTCTAAGACGAGTAACTCTATTCACCAGATACCTGTATATGCAAATACCTGTATATGCAAAAATGTTCTCTCTAGCATTTGTAATAGTGAAAACGTAGGCAAACCCTAAGTGGTTAAATCAGATAGGACTTTTCCATACAATGAAACACTATGCAGCTGGAAAAGAACTAGCAAATCTGAAAGTGCTGATAAGGTGAGAGCTCCAAGATATGCTGCTAAGTGAAAAGGCAAGATGCTATAAATAGTGTACACAGTGCACGTTTGAGTCCATGGTTCAAAAAATAATAATAATAATATGGAGGAAAAAGTCTAATAGATCATTCCAGAGTGATCCTGGTGTGCCCCTAACCAACAAGTGACTGGGTCACACCTCTCTAAGCCCCATCTCCCCTCCTACAAAAAACAAGGATGAGAGTTAACACCTCCTGGTGGTGTTACTGAGAGGATTAAGGGAGAAAATGCATGTAAATGGCCAGCACCTCTCCCAGAGTGAGTACACAAACATATATTTGTTCAAATAGAAAATGATTTCCCTTATGACAGGATGGGAACAAAGATCATTTCACTTTTTTTTAACCCCCATTTTAAAATTTATTTTGTAAATGAATTCAAATTTACAAAAGAGTTGCAAGAATAATACAAAGCCGCTGTCACCAATTGTTAACATGTGCCATATTTGCACTACCCCCTCAATTTTTTCTTGGAACATTTTATCTTCCTTTACCTTAAATACTTTTAGCATGTATTTATTTTTTAAAAAATATGTTTTTATTGATTTCAGAGAGGAAGGGAGAGGAAGAGAGAGATAGAAACATCAATGTTGAGAGAGAATCATTGATCGTCAGTATGTACTTCTTAAAAACAAAAACATTCTCTTAGATAACCAATTATCAAATTCAGGAATTAAACATTGATACGATATTCTTGTCTAATCTATAGTTGTGTTCAAATTTCATCAATTGTCCCAATAATGTCCTTTTAAAAAATTGTGATAAAAAACCCTACATAACATAAAATTTACCATCTTAGTGTACAGTTTAGTAAAGTATATTCACATTGTTGTGCCAAGAATATATTCTATAGCAATTTTGTACCTCCTCCAGGATCATACATTGCATTTAGTTAACTTGTCTTTTTTAGTTTCTTTTAATCTGGAAAAATTCCCCAGACTTCCTTTGTTGATGACTTTCATGACGTCAGTGTTTTGAAAAGTCTAGGCCAACTGTAATTTTGTGTGTTTGATATGTGCTTTTATAATAAAGGAGCTAATATGGAAGGTATGATTAGATAAATGGAATCATAGAAATATCCATAATTTTTGTTTTGTTTTCTGTTTTTGGTAAAAGAGGACCTGGAGTTTATCTCTTCTGTCCTTGGGCTTCCTAGTGTTGAGTTGTATATAAGTTCTTTATATATTTTGAAAATTAATCCCTTATCAGATGTCGAACATGTTCTCCCATACTGTGGGTTCTCTTTTCTTTCGTTAATGGTTCTTTTGTTGTGCAGAAGCTTTTTAGCTTGATGTAGTCCTATTTTTTTTTATCTTTTCCTGAGTTTTCCTTACCCTTGGAGATACAGTGGAGAAATATTGCTGTGAGAGATAGCTGAGATTTTATTGCTTATGTTTTCTTCTAGGATTTGCATGGTGTTGTGACTGACATTTAAGTCTTTTATCCATTTTGAGCTTATTCTTGTGTATGGTGGTCTAGTTTCTTTTCTTTCTTTCTTTTTCTTTCTTCTTCTTCTTTTTTTTTTGCATGTGCCTGCCCAGTTTTCCCAGCACCGTTTATTGAAGAAACTATCTTTATTCCATTATATGCTCTTGACTCATTTGTCAAATATTAATTGACCATAGAGGTGTAGGTTGATTTCTGGGCTCTCTATTGTGTCCCATTGGTCTATATGCCTGTTCTTATGCCAGTATCAGGCTGCTTTGATTATAATGGCCTTGTGGTATAGTTTGATATCCAGTATTGTGAAACTGGATAAAGAAGGTGCAGGGATTAACTAAAGACCATATATGCATACTGCTTGGACACAGACAATAGTTTGTTGAAGGCCAAAGGAGAGAGAGTTGGGGGTGAATGGAAGTGGGCAAAAAGGTTGACATACCTTCAATTATGTCAACTTTAACATTTTTATTTTTTTATTTTATTTTTTTAAAATACATTTTATTGATTTTTTACAGAGAGGAAGGGAGAGAGACAGAGAGTTAGAAACATCAATGAGAGAGAAACATCGATCAGCTGCCTCCTGCACATCTCCCACTGGGGATGTGCCCGCAACCCAGGTACATGCCCCTGACCGGAATCGAACCTGGGACCCTTCAGTCCACAGGCCGACGCTCTATCCACTGAGCCAAACCGGTTTCGGCACTTTAACATTTTTAAATAAAAAATGCCCTTGGGCAACACACAGGATCCTCTCTATCTCACCTGTTTCAATGTCAATCTCCTGGTTGTGAGACTGACTGTACTATAGCTTTGCAAGATGGGATCTATGCCTTGAGAGAAACTGAGTGAAGGGGACAGAGACCTCTCTGTATGATTTTTTACAACTGTATATGAATCACAATTACCTCAAAATAAAAAGTTTCATTTTTTAAAACTGTCCTTTGGCATTTCAGAGTGAAGGGACAACCCTTCTCCTAGAGAGAATCTGGCCCCTTGGTGAAATTCCCAGCAGGAATCCTCACGCCTGAGAAAGGACTTCTTAATGAACTTCTTTCACTTGCAGGGATTGGGGGAGGGGGGGTTCCTTTGCTTTCTTCAGGGACATTTTAAAGTGAATGAAGGGAGCAAGGTCCCTCATTAAGGATGAAATGGGAACTGTTGGGGGCAGGGTTCTTTAGAAGGGTGGCCTGGCCCCAGGTCTGCATTTCCTGCTACAATGTCACATTAGCAATAATCACTGCTCTTTCCTTTATCCAAGAGTGGACTGTGAATGAGAATGTTGGAAACACCATTTTTATCTACTGTTTTTGTCAGTTGAGACGTTCTTAATAAAACTGAAAAATCATAAAGACCTAAATAGGCAACCATGGGAATTCTATGTGGGTATGCAGTGGCATTTTATGATGTTTTTGTACTACTTACAATTGAAGCCAAGTGTTGTCTGAGATTCCGAGGCCTTCTTTTAGAGCACTTGAACTTCTCCTTGGGGCTCAGGGAATGTGGGTTGTGGGCAGGATCAACCTCTTGCCAGGTGCCTGTTCAGGCTGAAATGCTAATTTCTTGATGTTCTCAGAGAGATCAGTTATGGCCTAGCCTCTCTCTACCTTGAAAGTTTGTCCATCCTTGTGCTATTTTGAACCCAGAACCTGGGAACATAGTATCCCTTGACCCTTCTAGGAGTTCCTCCCAAAGAAACAATCAGATATGGCAAAAGAATTGTGTGCAGGGATGCTTTTTGACTTGTTCTGTTTATAAGATTGGAAAATTGGAATAATAATAACAAAGATGTATTGAGCACTTAACATGGGCCAGTTGCTGTGCTGTCTTACAAATATTATCTCATTTCATCTTTTCTAGTAGGTTCTATTAAATATCTTCTTTTTTACAATTGTGAAAAGAAATGGAGGCACAGAAAGGTTAGTAGTTTGCCCAAGACAACATAATTAGTAAGTGGGGGAGACAAATGTGTAATAAACAACAGCAGTAACACAATGTGATAAGCATTAACATTAAAATAATATGGGCAACAATAGGTAGGCAATGCAAAGTATTAACATTATACATGCTACATAATTGGGTGCTTAAAATAAAGCCCTATACACGATAGGCATTTAAAAAATGCTCATTATTTGTACTTCAAACTTAAATGTTCCCAGTGATCACCTGGAGATCTTGTTAAAAAATGCAGATCCTGAATCAGCAGGTCTAGGGTAGGCCTAAGGGTCTGCATTTCTAACATATTCCCAGGTAATGTCCTTACTGCTGGTCCGAGGACAACATTTTGAATTCAGGGCGTGGGAGAGCCCTGAATATATAAAAATAAGACAAATCACTGAAACCCCAATGACCTGTCATATGGAAAAAGACTATACAATAATAGTTACTCATTGCAGTGTTGGCCTAGTTTCAAATGAATTTCTTTCCCTTTCTCTGTTTTCTGTCACATAGGCTAATCAAATTCCACAAATATTTATTAAGTGGCTCAGCACCCGTCACTGTAGGAGTAGAAATAAAGGAAATCCAGTGGTTTCCTCAAGGATGTTTAAAAAAGAAGAAAAAAAAGAGGCTAAAATAATTTAAAGAAACACACTTTAAATGGGTGCATTTCATTGTATATAAATCATAACTCAAACAAAGTTGATTTAACACTTAAAGATATAAGTAAATATAATGCTCTGACAGGGATCTTTTTTAAAAGATTAAAAATATTTTAAAATAAAAATTCCTGGATGGTGAGTCAGGAAGTCTGAGTTGACTCCCTGTCTGTCTGTGACTGGAAGGTTTACTCTCTTCCAGGTACCTTGAACTTGGAAACACCTTGTACTTTTTGGCATCAGTTAATGATTTCACACACACATGAATTTCACGTGTGGGTATGCCTTCCTGACCAAACTCACTTCCCCCAGGCCAGGCCTGCATCTGGTTTTGTCACAAGGTCTCCCAGCACCTGCCCTGGCATCTGCCTCACAGTAGGCACTCAATAGTATTTGTTAAATGAATGCATGAATGAAATAATGGTTAAATGGGAGGAGCTTAGCCTCTGGGCAGAAGACATATTTTAAAAACATATTTTTATTGATTTCAGAGAGGAAGGAAACATCAATGATGAGAATCATTGATTGGCTGCGCCCCCTACTGGGGGTCGAACCTGCAACCCCTGCATGTACCCTTGACTAGAATCGAACCCGGGACCCTTCAGTCTGCAGGCCAACACTCTATCCATGGAGCCAAACCAGCCAGGGCTGCGTGGAAGACATCTTGTTCATACCCGCAAAGAAGGTGAAGAAGCTCTTGGGCTTGGAGATGAGGTCCTAGATTGCAAGGAGCATGCCTCCTTTTCCCAACGGGGAGCTGGAGAATTCTCGGGGTCCTTGGGCAGAGAGCCTGGGGGTTCACAGGGCTGTAGTGATTAGCAACTGTCCCAGGAACCTCCTCCCCCCACCTGATCACTGCCCTCCCTGCCACTACCACCGCCCGTGCACTTGTGTGTTTTGTTCATTCTCACCTGATATTTTCCATTGTTGTTTTTTAGACAGAGTGTAAGGGAGGGAGAGAAACAGGGATGTGTTGGTTGGTTGCCTCCCACACGTCTCCCGACCGGGGCCAGGGCAGCCCTGGCACAAAGTCCTTTAGGTCAGTTCCCCAAGTGTGGGCCCAGGGAGCTGGTGGGCAATGCAAATCCTCAGGCTCCACCCCAGCTTTTCTAATCTGACGCTCTGGGGATGGGACCCCGTCATCTGCCTGGAGCACCCCCCCCCCCCCCCCCCCCCGGCTGATGCAAGTTCCAGGTTGCGACCCACGGCCCTCGCTCCTCCGAGAAAGCCCCCTGGACACGGGCCGCGTTGTCACTTCCCCGTCACAGGCCCGGACCCCGGAGGCACCGGCGGTAAGAACCTGCCGAATAGCGACGAGGGCGACAGCACTCAGTGGTTCTCAACCTTCTGGCCCTTTAAATACAGTTCCTCCTGTTGTGACCCAACCATAAAATTATTTTCGTTGCTACTTCATAACTGTAATGTTGCTGTTATGAATCGTAATGTAAATATCTGATATGCAGGATGGTCTTAGGCGACCCCTGTTAAAGGGTCGTTCGACTGCCAAAGGGGTCGGGACCCACAGGTTGAGAACCGCTGAGCTAGGGCCTCCTGTGCGTCGGGCTGCGTTCTCTACACTCAGGAGGACCAGCCGCCCCGGGGTCACCTTAGGGACCGTGAGACTGGGGTTCACCAGGCCCGGCTGCGCCCGGGGCCCCCCAGCGGGAGAGCCGGTCCGGATCCCTTCTGACC